GGCCCCCGATTGTCTTTTCGGAGACAAAACGTGTTGTCGCGAATTCGGTTCTTACGACAATTTTATATCACATCGCTTACCATTATTTTATTCATGTCACGTCGACGTGAGTGAAGCCTTTCGGTAGGGTTTGGTGGACCCCGCGGGCGCATCCGTGTCTGGATACATGATGGGTGACCAAGAGGTTGACGATTCAGTGCGTCAATTCGGGTGTCCGTTGAGCCCAGGTTTCGGGTCCTTATTTCCCCCGCCCTGGGACCATCTCACAACCGCACCACTTTTCCAGAGAACGCGTCATTTACAGTTAATGGCATTGAGACAGTGAAACATGTTCGTGTTGTGTCTCCGCTCAAAGGAAAACGAACTCCCGCCCTACGTCAGGATTTTTCTTCGGATCATTGGCGCCGGTGGTATTTCTGGCTCATCGATTTTCGTGGGTTTCGACGTTATGACGGGCGGGGACACCACTTGACCGAGTACGGAGGGCGGTATGGGGAATGCTGTATGTCGATGATGCCGGCTTTGTATCGAGGTCAGCCGACAGACTGGCGAGAATGATGGGCCGTCATCGTGAAGGTGTTCGTGGAGTTCGGGCTGACGAGATCGGAGAAGAAGACGGAGACGCTCCTGATGCGCGTCAAGGAGAAAACGCCGACGCCACCGCTCCCCCCGGGGCCACCGCCGCCACTGCTTATCTTTGAAGAAGCAGGGCAGAGGTTCGTCAAGACGACTGAGTCCCGGTACCTAGGCGGTCTCGTCAACGAACATGGTGGTCTCACCCGGGAGATAATTACCGGAGCAGAACAGCGTGAGCGTGCGTCAGGAGATATGGCCGGGAGCTCTTCGATAGGCGGAGAGCACCGATCCGAATCAAGCCTCGCCTGCTCCAGGCGGAAGCGGTGGAGGCACTGCTACGGTTGCATGATATGGGCCCCACGTCGCGACCACAACCGGCGGTTGCGGTCGATATATCACCGGCTTCTCCGGCGAGTTATCGGTTAACAACACGCAAGGAGGCACCTACCGGCGCAACTCTCCTGCGCCCAGACCTTGAAGAGGGTCGGGTGCCGGAGCGTGGAAGCCACTGTTCGGCAACGGTGCCTACCGTTCGCGGGAGCATTGGCAAGGCAACCGGGTGGGCGACTTTCTAAACGGTTGATGTTCGGCGAGCTAGTGGGGGGGGAAGAACCCAGGCAAGAGATTCTCGAAGCAGAACTGGCAAACGTGCCTGAAGGACGATTTCAAGGCCTTTTACACATGGATCCATGGACGACGAACCATGTATTATCGAATTAGTTTGGACGGAAGCATCGAAGGTGGAGCGGGGTGTACCATGGCATACGGGGGTACGGCAGGGAGATGAGGGGTTCACGACCGCCTGGCACAAGGATGAAGAGGAGGATAGTCCACGACGGGCACTCAAACGATACAAGGAGACTAGCAACAGCACAGATATGGTAACAGCAAAGAGGGCGAGAGGGGAGCAGCGGACGGACGAACGGCGAGGAAAGAATGCAAACGAGAAGAGGCAAACCGAGTGAATTGAAGCGATAAAGGCCGAATTGAACTCCATCGCTAATTCCCCCCTCCCCCTCCGTCGCCCCCCCCGGTGTTTGCGCCCCCCCGGTGTTTGCCATCGGGGTTGGGTTTTCGTCACTTGGCAACGACGTTGTAAAACAAGCCAATTCACTTTGTGAACTTGGCAACCAGGTTCCCGTTTTGTTTTTACGCCTGTTTTTGTTTTTTGCGGTAACCATGAATGGTGGTCGAGTAGATTATGTTGTCCGCGGTCGAGAACCATCGCTCCGCGCAAGAGGGATGATCGCACCACGTTGTGTTAAAATGGTAAGGCATCATCCAGGCAGTTACACAGCAGTGCTTATAACTGTCTCTGGAAGTGAAAGCACCAGAAAATAAATTAAGTCATACGCAGCTGTCATCCGTACGAAAGGAAGTAAGCACAAGATGCCGAACACCCTTAGTAGGCTGCAGCGCACCCTTCATGCGACTCGCCAAATACCTCACGGCGCTTCGCGCTTGGTGATGTGAGAGCCTGGTCCGGTGAGAACCCGGCGTGTTCCGTCCCGGCTTTGTAGGGATGCGAGATCAATGGTCTAACGATTACGGCATGCACGACTATGAGTACCCCCCCCCCCCCGTCGCCCCCCCCCGTCGCCCCGCTCGGTGTTTGCTATCGGGGTTGGGTTTTCGTCGCTTGGCAACGACGCTGTGAAACAAGCCAATTCACTTCGTGAACTCGGCAACCAGTTGCCCGTTTTTTACCTCCGTTTTTTTTTTTGCGGTAACCATAATGGCGGTCGAGTAGATCATGTTCTGCGCGGTCGAGAACCCTCACTCCGAGCAAGAGGGATGATCGCACCACGTTGTGTTAAAATGGTTAGGCATCATCCAGGCAGTTTACACAGTGCTTGTAACTGCCTCTGGAAGTGAAAGCACCAGAAAATAAATTAAGTCATACGCAGCTGTCATCCGTTCGAAAGGAAGCAAGCACAAGATGCCGAACACCCTTCGCAAGATGCAGCACACCCTCCATGCGACTCGCCGAATACCTCACCGCGCTTCGCGCTTGGTGATGTGAGAGCCTGGTCCGGTGAGAACCCGGCGTGCTCCGTCCCGGCTTTGTAGGGATGCGAGGTCAATGGTCAAACGACTACGGCATGCACGACTATGAGTACCCCCCCCCCCCTCCCCCCCGATGTTTGCCATCGGGGTTGGGTTTTCGTCGCTTGGCAACGACGTTGTAGAACAAGCCGCCCCCCCCGGTGTTTGCCATCGAGGTTGGGTTTTCGTCGCTTGGCAGCGATGTTGTCAAACAAGCCGATCACTTCGCGAACTCGGCAACCAGGTTACCGCTTTTTTTTTTTGCCTTCGTTTTTTTTTTTTTGCGGTAACCATGAATGGTGGTCGAGTAGATTATGTTGTGCGGAGTCGAGAACCCTGACTCCGCGCAAAGGGGATAATCGCACGTTGTGTTAATATTGGTCAAGCACCCTCGAGGCAGTTACACACCGATTACAGCTGTCTCTGGAAGTGA